TTTTCCCTTTTTTTTTTTTTTTTTTTTTTTTTTTTTTTTTTTTTTTTTTTTTTTTTGGGCAAACTACAAAACTCAATAGTGATTAGGGAATCACATGCTGCATCTCTACGCACCTAGTTCCCTAGAGGCAGCTGCATGCCATGTCTTCTTTTCAGCTTTTTCCTGACAGCTTAATTTCAATATCACTTAGAGATTCAGATTCTTTGCTTTATTTTTCTTTGTTTGAATGTGCTTGACGTTTATGCAACAAGTGTGGTACCTCATTAAGTGAAGTGGTTAATCTTCATCAAATGGCTCTCTTATCTTATTTGACCTTGGATTTTTTGTGGCTTTCAACTTTTATATGGTTTTCTCATCAAGCCTACCCATCCTTGGATAATTGTGTATATGTGGGAGTTCGAGAAGAACATAGATTTAGTTTGTTTCCATGATTCTGAAAAGGGGAAGAAAAAAATGCTGAGCTCCAAGTCACATCAACAATTTAAAAGGAAAAAAAAAACTAATTGCATGATTTATTTAATCACAAAAAGCCTACATCAATAGGCTTTCATAAATTTTCATATAATTGTAAATTCATATAATAAAAGAGCAACCAATTAAAGGCCTCATTATAAAAGAAAATCCAACTGCCATGTACACGTACATGGCATAATTATAATTCTCAAATAATATAACTTCGTTTAGATAGTTGAGAAAACTACTAAGAAAAAGATTATAAAGATTTACTACGTAACCAAATCCTAAATCCTAGCATCAACGAAAGTTAGTCAATGCCATCGATCAACCACGGAAGCTACTCCAAATAGGGATAAAAATTCTCTACAGGTGGGAATTGCCTTTGGTAAGTATCGTAGAGACTTCTTTCAAATGCCTTCAAGTTGTACAAGTCGTCTGGATGGATAGTTGATTCATCAATGTATCTAGACTCGAGCAGACTGTCAGGCAACAGTGGCATGGATGAAGCTCTAGCACCAAATGCTTGTGGGTGCCCAATATTTGGATAACTGGGCACTTCATTCATGGGGACTGCTTGTAGTTGGCTATGAATCATGCCATTATGTGATACACCATAAACATTTTGCATGATTGAGTATTTGTTGTCATACCCCACCATAGGATCAAAAAGGGTGCTCATCTCCGTCTCCATCTCCATGCCTTCCCCATTTATAATCTGGGGCTGCGGGGATAGAGGATCCTCGACATGATTCCGAGTTTCACATCTTTTGCTGTTCTTATCAACTTTCTTATAGATTCTACAGAGTACCCAATTATCCAACTGCAAACAGCAAAACTTATTTTTGTAAGCATGATGTGGGATATATAGTTAGATTTTCATTATCAATTATATAGAAGGAGAATATGCATACCCTCATGTCATTCTCTCCCCTCTTTCTTCGAACGGGAGAATCCTTGACTCGAAACTCATGCATGATCCAGTTGGTCTTGTCACCCTTTGGAGGTTTCCCTCTGTAAAACACAAGAGCCTTTCTGAATCCAACAAGAGCACCATTAGACCTAACTGCTTTGTCAGCTCCAGTGGCCTTCCAGTATCCATTACCAGCTGCTCTCTTCGGCCGACTACCATTTTTATACTTCCGGTCCCTCGGAGTAAAAAAGTACCATTCAGCCTCTCCATATTTCCTATATTTTTCTGTTAATTAACATAAAAAAAAGAGAGAGCATTACAATATTATAGGTACTTCTCATCATCTATCCTGTGAAAAATATCTAAACACATAGCAAAAGAACATGTTAAAACGCAGCTTTAATCTTAGTGATTATAATGCATATACATTATTCAGACTTCATTAATTAGTGTATTAATCTCTGCTGCATGGCACTATTTCACTATATATATAAATTTCTGTGAGATGCACATATGAAACTAAGTTAATAAGAAAAATATCCTAAACCCTAAACCCAACAATCCTACATGAGAAAAACATCCACTCAACGTTAGATCATTATGAAAATCTAATGAAGAATAAGTACATAACCCTAGGGATATTGATACAAAAATTAGTAATGCACAATTTTCCTTTATTGACATGTACCAGCAAGAAATTCCGGATTGTGGCGGTATAGGTTAACTTCAATGATCCGGTTGGGAGGCAAGGGCTGATCCAAGACCTTCTTCTTCAGATAATGCACAACAAGTTCCTCATCGAGAGGGTTGAACCGATAACCGGGCGGGAACGAATCGAAAAACTCATCTTCCTCATTTTTCAGATTGTTATTGAAGCTATTTGACTCATCATCCGAAAGTTCTGCGCCCGCAGACACATTGGTTATCAAAGAATTTCCAGGCTCGTTTGGTTGAGTGAGTTCATGAGTGAGATGAGCTTGAGCATGAGATTGCTTGTTGATGAGGCTATAAGAAGCCACTTGGGAAGTAACAGAAGCCTTGTTATGCGGATGACTTTGTTCAACAGGCTCCATTGTTGGACTCTTTGAGGGAGAAGACACTGGCAGAGACGCAAGCTTGACTCTTCCTCTTTTCTTTGTTGTTGAAAAAATGCGTGGAAGAGTTGTAGTTGAAAACAAATTTAAATAAACAGACTCCGAAATTATTTGAGATAAATCGGGGTTTCGGGTGGGATTGGCCGCCCGAATATGCTTCCGAAATTGAATTTATGATATTCAAAATTGATGATAATTATCAGTTGTTTTAATTGCTGTTTATCTTCTTATTTGAAACCATGTATTTTAATTGGTCGACCTAGCTGAATGATAGGCCATTAATAATTAATTATATTATCTTTGTTTCATGAAGATAACTTACCCGAACCCAGCAGTTATATATCTTAGCACATGAAAACCTAATATAATAAATAAATATTAAAAGAAAAGTGGGAGTAAAATAAAATTTTAAATTAATAAATAAAAAGTTGTTAGATTAACATGGAAGATGATATTGTGTTATGAATTAAAAAGTATTAATTAATTAATACCGGATGAGACTTCAAACTAACCTTGGTAACAGAATGCATGCTGATTATGAGAATTTCTAGATGGATCGTCACACAAGAATTGAATATTTATTTGGAAGTAAACACAATCTTTAAACAAAATACAAAAAGAAAAACTAAACAGGACATATATTAAAGATGTGCGTAAACACCGTCTAAATTAAAATTTTGACAATTTACCACCTAGAATCCTCTTTCAGTGAATGTGTCGCTCATGTTTACAAATATTGTAACGCTCATAATATTGTACATGGTACACAAATATTGTACTTCACTACCTACAATATTTACACAAGTACTTCTCATCATCTTAATATTTAGTACAAATATTATGTGCCACCTAGACTCCTCTCTAAAGTAGTGCATAATATTGTCTACCTTAGAGAGCTTTTTTGCTCTTTCCTTTTAGCTTGATAAGTCTGCGGCCTGACCTAGATCCAATATTGGAGATTGGGTCTATCTTCTTTCTAAAAACAAAAACTTGAGACCGTAGTTATTAGTAGAATTGTATAGTGAGGGCGCCTTAAGGCCCTTAGATGAGGTCCTATTTTTTAACTGTTGAATCAAATTAGTTAGTTATTTGATTAAATTTGTTAGTTTGATCTAACGGTTAAGAGATATGGCATCATCTAATTTTCTTAGATAATACCCCTCATTATAGAATGACTCGGTAGGTCTTACTGATCAAATTTTTGGATGATACAATGTGACATTTGGTATGCTTTGGAAGATCGAATAAAACTTGTGCAAAACTCTCATACCGCAAAGAATCTCCTACCATGCCATCGTCATAACATGACAGTCTAACAAGTCAAAATAAAATCAATTGTTCGCATTGATAACTAAAAAATAATAATTAGATTAAAGTTCGGTTTTTTAATTACAATATGCCAAAATTGTGAAATTTTCTTACAGTTTTGACGGGTTCAAGTTGGATTAGAAATTTTGCCACCAATTGATTTTGAAATGAAAAATTCTAAAGGAAAAAAAAAATTGAATTAGAATTGGAACATATCTTAAAATTCTAAAAATTCAGAATATTGAACAACATTAAGTTTGAACTACCTAGTACCTACAACGTTTGACATTATGTTGAAATAAAAATAGGATTTAATGACCAAGGAGGCAAAGATGGAGTTCTCCTGTGGAGTATAACAACTTTCATTGCATGTGAGCACTAGTCCAACATCACTCAAAGGGAGAACTCCATCAAATCCTTCTATTATAAAGTTCTTGCATGACCTATCAGTCCGAAATTTTGAATTGAATTTAGAACACCTTAATTAGAATTCGATGAGTCCAAAAATCAAGCCTAGTTTTAACACATGGCTATTCTATGACCTGTTCTGCGAGGAAAATTTGTTCTCATGAAAGTTCTTGTGGCAAGGAAAATAGCTCAATTGTTTTTTGGGAGATTCACTATAATACCCAATATAGGAGCCCAAATTATACATAAATAAAAAACCCTATATGAAATGAATTTTAGAAACATACCCAAAGCCCATTTACTACATAATCAAAGGACTTTTAAATTCTTTTAAATTACAAAACTGCCATTGATTTCTTAAATCAAACTCAACCCAAAAACCTCATGAAAAAGCTCAAAACACTCAATGGGGCATCAAAGTAATTTAAAAATTAAAATTAAATTCAATAGGGCCAACTGTCATTTTTTGGGTTTATTTTGAGTTTGTTTATAGAAATTAAATAGTGTAAGGTTTATTTATAGTTTTAGTGCTAAGAATAGATATATGACTAAATATCTCTGGTTTTTGCTTAAAGGTCAATTTCGAGCTCAAAATTTAAAAGAAATACGCGCAAAAATCCCAAATTATGTATTAAAAAAATGCCAGAAAATAAAGAACACATCGAAACTTACAGTACAAGAAATACAGGGAGATCACTATTAATATCAAAGAGAATAAAAGTTCCATGAATACACTTGACTCTCAGTAATCCAATATCTTATTCAATAGTTAATTTCTTCTGTATTCTGCAGACACGTGGGTAAATATATAGGAATCAACAAGCTGGAGACTAAGTCCGGTTTTTCTGTTTTGGGTCCAAGTAGACTAAGTCACTAAACCAAAAACACCAACCGAAACATAGCACAGACCGAATTTATTGCAAAGACCCTCACAGTACTGAAACAAGAAGACTCAGAAATTGACAAAATTCTTTTCCTTCAGGCTTTCAACTGTTTCCTTGAGGCTAACCTCTAATGGAATGAATTCAACACCCAACTTCTTTGCCTTCTCCTTGGACACCTGATATGTTGGCACAAAAGGCTTATCATCCGCACACCTGGAAATACCATTTGAAAGGTAAAATTACAAAGTTAATTTCCATGAAACTAGCATAGGAAAACAACAGGAAACTGAGAGAGAGAGAGAGAGAGAGAGTTTGGCATCGACATGCACTATCAAGCAAAATAACAGGTCATGCTCGGTATGTTCTTTGCTTTTGTAATAAATAAAAAATAGAGGAAGTTGTGAACCTGCAGATTGCAATAAATGAGGGAGTACAAACAAGTCTGCCAACAAAGAGTCTTCTACATTATCTGTAATTTCTATTGGCTTAAGCCCCTTTATATGGTGAATTTTTTTAGCAACAGTTCCATGTACTATAATCATGAGCACTTAGTTGCATAATCTTTGCGATACTAATTGAAGAGCATCTATAGGCTGACAAAGTGCAGCAACTTCAACTTCACATGAAATTGAACTAAGAGGCCAGATGATGATAGCTAGCTTTCCCAGTTATGACATTTGTTTCCTAGGCAGTCTAGTTGTATTTTAGCGTGACTGAAAGGTTAGAAGGATGCAAAATGAGGATCAGATATTGTAGTTCTGAACCACAATCTATACTCATTTTGAATACAAAATAACCACTAAAACCAAAATACACCAGAAAAGTGTGAAAAACAGCAATGCTGAGTTTAGTTATAAAAGCGATTCGAATTTAAAAGAAAACAAATAATTAATCACTATCAGAATCATGGGACAGTGTTAATGTGGAAATTATCTATTGCCAATCACAAAGCTATACCAAAATTTAAATTGTGTAGGAAACAAAGACTTACTTCTCTGGAAGTTGCAAACCAGGGTACAGCTCCTGTAAAATTCTCACAACTTCCGAGAAGTGTGCAACTCTCTCAACCAAACAATATCTGCCACTAGCTGAAGGAATCTCAAATGCTTGAATATGTGCATTGGCAACATCTTTAACATTAATCCATCCAAAACTTGCATTGGGAAATGTTCGAGCTCCTACAACAAACAAAGTAAAGAAACATTCAGGTACTTCACGGAGAAAGAAAGCACCGAGTGTTAGACAAATAAAAGGAACCATAGAGCAGCATCTTGACTCAATATGAAGAAATATCCTTATTTAAAATAATTATCTAATGTTTTCATGCAGACATTTTTCCAATCATGTTAAGCAGGAAACATTTTACTTGTTGAAATCAAGAAATACCAGATACAACAATGAAGAAATGTTACCCTTAATAACATTCAAAACTGCTGCAGCACTTGTATTAAGTGTTGGCTGTAACAGAGGACCAATCACCATTGCAGGGTTAATTGTAACCATGTCAATACCCTTCTCCTTTACAAATTTCCAGGCAGCGTCCTCAGCCAAAGTCTTTGAAAGCACATACCATAGCTGGAGAAAATTAAGGGAACATAAAAAGAAATGAAAATATGTTTTGTTACAATAGTAAAGATACCATATTTTATTGAATGCACAAGCCAAAAAAATTAATCTTTGACAAAGCATTTAAAGCCTTAAAGGCTTGACATGATATTGTCTGGTGAACAACATCATTAAACATGAAGCAACTGAGAATGGCTTAAAGGACACAACATGTTTGGTGACTACATTACAATTATGGGCATGGGAACCCCTCAATCACAAAAAACCAAAAACAAAAAAAAAAACAAAACCCTGGTTTTAGCAACTTAATAAAATAACATGAAATCTTAAGTAACCATAAAGCACTGAAGAAATTTCATTTCTAAAACGCAAGTCAGAGCAACTTTTAAGTTTTCAGAGTTTATAATAAAAGCACATAAAAAGTTAACATCACAAATTGAGAGATTAAGATGGCAAGATATTGCCACATACAAACAACTTTCATGTTCACCATACATGCTTTCTGAACTTACAATAAGGAAACTGGAAATTTCTCCCAAAAAGTGTTCTATGGTACTAAAATCCTATTGGGTAAGAAGGAAGAGAAGATTGTGTTCTCTTCCCAGGCACAATTAATTAGGCCCCTGCAAACCATCTTGTCAGTAATTTCACAGGCACAAATAATTCACAAGGTTAAATATTTTAGAAAATATACTTAAACTACAACTTGGTTTTAGAAAATGTGCATGGGAAAAAGGAACCGGCTTCTCTTGTCACTTAAAACATTTCCTATCTTCTTCTTCATTGCTAAACTTTCATCATCCATTAACAAATCCATTGTTCATTCATGAACAAGCAGACTTGCAATCATATTATTTTGGTTTGGTCAACTCTCAGGAAATCAAAACTAAATTTAGCTGATATACTACCATTACAATGTAACGACTCAAAGTGCATCACCATATTTTATTTTCAAAAGAGTATGAATAATGATGATAGCACATGCATACCTTTGATTCCTTACAAAAATCTGCATCAGTAAACCAAGTCTCATCAACAACTACATCAGGAGTTCGAGGTTTTCCGTTATATGCAACTGCAGCTATAGAAGATGTCAAGACCACCCGTCTGATAGACTGGGATTTCGCACACGAATTAAGAACATTAAGGGTTCCCTTTACTGCAGGGTCAAGTAGTTCTGCCTGAAATGAGGCAACAACTATTTAACAGTTAGAAGCCATACAACCACCCTTATTATTAGCACCAAAAAAAAAAAAACAAACAATCTAGTGTTATTATTATATGAAAAAAGGGTCCTGCATTTTAAGGTTGAATTCAAAAAGCTATCAAAAATCAATTAAGGAATGCGAAAGACAATTGCTATAATCCTAATCTTGACAACTTAACCTGTGCATTGCGCTTTGCCGAGAAAACAAAGAACTCGTGCGTTGCATGTACAGGCAGCAAAAATTGGACACTCACGATTGTTCCTAACATTTCTAGTGCATCATTCTATGTTTTCAACAAGTAGATACATGATGGTGAACTTATACTTATGTACTTAATGTGTGCTTTAGTAGTGACTTTTATAGATTGGAAGAGATTAATCTTAATCTAAGAGAAAAAATGGGTGACACAAAAATGAATAGGCTACATCTACTAGTTTCTTGTCCACCAACATAGACTTAAACATCCCAAGAGAATTCTTTTGGCCATGAATATCATGAAATAAAATTTCGGAATCATAACTTGATCATGTACATTGAAGGAAAAAAATAGCATATGCTATTGCAACAGTAATGGATTTATCAAGCAAACATATTTGATTGCATTAACATGATGAGTTGGAACTAATTATATGTATCCACTTGCATTAACATGATGAGTTGGAACTAATTATATGTATCCACTTGCATTAACATGATGAGTTGGAACTAATTATATGTATCCACTTGCATTAACATGATGAGTTGGAACTAATTATATGTATCCACTTTTTCCCAACAGCCAATGCTCTAATCCCTTGATTTCTGAAGGAGATATTGAAAATTACATGGCTCTTTGGTAATTTAAAATTTTTATAACCTAAAAAGAGATCCTTAGTACCTTTATTAACAAAACAGAAATCGGAAGCACATGCAAAAACTATCTAATATTCATAAAGGAAGGGTACAAGTTGATGAACCTTTGGATCTGTGACATCATGATAAAAGGGAGAAGCAGTATGGAAAACCCCTTCACAACCGTCAACAGCAGAGTCAAAAGAACCTTCCTCCAATAGATTTGCTTTGAAGAGTTGAAGTCTCTCTTGAGCTCCATCAAGCCCGAGCAAGTGCTCTGTCTTAGTTGGATCATCTATGTGAAAAATGAAAAATGAACTCAGTAAATCATTCTCTTAATACTAGCCGCATCTATTAAATTACGGAGTTGATCCAAAAATTAAAACTATTCTGAGAACTCATTGACGGAAACAATGAAAACGCAAGACTCATCAATCTAGAGCATACAAGTTGTCCTGGGAGATAAAAGAAAAAGGGGAAAAAATGTATAATGCTACTTCTATGTATATACAGGAATAAGATTGCATTCAGTGTTAGGATAATGTAAAATAGGATCCGAATTTATAAACAAATGTCAAAGCTTAGAGACACATCTGTATTTGCAATAATGGACATCACGTATCTACGTACTTATACATGCATTATTTTTCTGTCAAAATTAAATGATAATGGCACAGATAGGAGTAATAAAACGTTAAATCATTCATATGACAGGGCAGAAAACATCTCAGAAAAGGAGAATAAGCGTTGCCTGAAGAAATACATGTAAATTAGAAGGATCAATACCACCCACAATTTGATGTCAGAATCAAGTTATGCCTGTCATTTTATATGAAACATGCATTTAACGTGATCCTACCTGAAACCAACAAACATTTTATTGGTTAAGCACCCAAATAAGTTTTTATAGTGACGTGTACCTGTCCTTTGAAACCAATTCTACCACAGAAACAGAAATATGTCATGACCCATGGGTAGAACTTGCCATTGCTAAACCAGTTTGCAAGGGTAGGATGCCCAAGAGCCTACAAAGATATTTTATCCATAAAACGTATGACATTTGGCACATGTCAACCTAACACTCTTCCGCACCCCACCTCCTCATCAGCCCACTCATACACTGGCCAGAAAAGCTCAACGGTAACTCTTAAATTCCATTGAGGTGGCTTTCACTCACCTACTCCCCTGATAGCTCGATTGTAGCCATTTCCAAGTGGGGTTCATGCACCTACCATCTACCTACCAGTATACAATGACTTGATATTATGTTCATAAATAATACCAAAGTGGATTTTAACCCAACCAATAGATCACACCTACCCGGTGGTGAAATACCATACCAAATATCACTGTGAAATCCTATGCCAAATATCCTGCCCCATGGGTAGAACTTAGCCTTGCAAACCTAGCTTACAAGGAAACAGTGCCCAAGAGCTAATATGTGGGACATTTAGGACATAATAAAATAATCAACTCTTCTAGTTTTTTTTTTTTTTATAAAGATTTTAACTTCAACAAAAACTAAAAGCCTGCAAAACAGTTAAATCCTGCGGTTGAACCTGCAAAAAGCATGAACAATGGATACAAGGCCAACAGACCAAGAAACAGGACAGCACTACACGTCCACAGAACAGGAATAGAAAGGATTGAAACTTTTCAGCTCGTCCTGAATACATTTAATTTAAACCAATGTTTTATCGAGCTTCCAAAATTAGAGTACTTCATCTGTTTCTACAATAAAGTATTAAGGGTTCTTTTAGTATCAAACTGAAATTAACATGTATAATCATGAAGGCAAACGAGAAAAAAAAGCAAATCCTTCATTGAAGGTTGAATATCGTGCACAAACAAGGGCAAATGTACATGAAAGAGAAAACCCAGATAGCCATTCGGCCCCATTTCCATGACTCGACTTCTCCATTCATTCCTGACGTAGCTAATAACGTAAAGCCTTAATCAATATACGAAAATAAAACCCATAAAAGCTTAAAGCACATGTCTAAGATGCGATTGCATTACTTCCACACCTCAAAGAGATAAAGAATCTGACCCATCAAACCAATACCCACAACCAGCTTCTCAAAAGCGTAGATAACCATCAAATTTTCAATCAAGATGAAGAATAATCAATTATAACAATAATCTGAAATCTGTATGCCCCAACATTGCATTCATTAATCTAAATCACAAGCATCAAAAGATCAGAAACCATAACGAACAAGAAAAACCAAAACTTATGAAGACCAAAAAGAAGGGGAAATGTACTGACTTGGGTCGCGAACAGAGGCCTTGACAGTGTAACCGCCTTGAAGAAGAAGCTTCACGAGCCATGAAGCAATGTAACCGGACGCACCGGTGACGCAGACGACCTTACCAGCCCCGCTGCTCATTTTCTGTAGTCTGTGCCTCCTACTCTGGACTCTGAAGATTGGGCTCGGTTTACGTTTCAGAGGAAATTGGAAGCTCCTTTTATAAATCAAATCTTTGACCGTTTCTGAATGGATGCGTAATGGCTTTCGTAGCTGAATGATTGCGTCACGGCATTCGTAGCTGATGATGATTATGCTGTGATTCACTCATTTTAGGATACCAAAATTACCCATTGCAAAAAGAAAAAAAAAGGAAGGAGATTACCAAATTACTGGGTTTTTTTGTTTTTGTTTTTTATACATATTTTTCTCTTTTAGATTAAAAAGTAAATTTATGTTATAGCCATAAAAACCCGTAATCCTATATACTCACACATGTTGCACTCTTACGTTACATAAATATGAGTTATCCAAACATTAAGCTCAAGTGACCTCCGACCAAAAAAAAAATTTTTTAAAAAACAAAAAAAAACAAAAACAAAAAACGAAAAGCAAAAACAAAAAAAAACAAAAACAAAAAGTGAAGAGGCTTGTTGACAACCTAGACTTGTCTATGAGCCTACTATGGACTCTGGATCTGTAAATTGGAATTGGAAGTTTCTTTAAATTTCTGACGCCATCTCCAATGGAGCCTTAAATGGGGCTCAAACTTCTTGAAGCTCTAAATTTGTGGACTCAAATAGAGCCCCTAGAGTCTAAGAGGGTCCCTCATTTTGAAAAGTTGCAGCATGCATCAGGTTTTGTATACCAACTCTCTAATAGAGTGTGGGACCCATTGTATTTGTGGGCTCTACCTCTATTAGAGAGTTGGTACACAAGTTAGTATATAAAGTTGGTTTCCCTAGCATGACCCTTTGTTTAATGTCTTTTTTACTAACAGCAACCAAAAAAAGGGCTTTGTCTAACCCTTTTGTTTTTTGTTTTCTATTTTCTTCTTCTTCTTTTTTTTCTTTTTTTGGTTCGATATTTCCTTCTCTCTCTCTTTTTTTACTTTCTTTTTGCTTTCAATTGTTATAATTTACCTTTAGAATTACTACTTCAATTTTTCTATGTTTCTTTTAATTTTTGTTAATTATAAATGGGGTAGAAATGTTGATTTTTGATTTTTTAAATTATAATTTATCTTTAGAATTACTACTCCAGATTTTGATTTTTTTTATTTTTTATTTATTTTTTATTTTGTAGAAATGCTCATTATAAAAAATCTAGCATGACATAAACATACAATAAAACAAAGAAAGTTAATAACAACAAAAATTAACACGTAAAAAAAATTATATCATAAAAAAAAATTCATATAGAGTCTCGGATGTAGAGCCCTCCATTGTGGGAAAGATACTTTTAGATCACAAAATATTCCAACGGGGCTTTAAATGGATCTCTCTACACATTTTTAGAGGCCCATTAGAGACTATGATTGGGGATGCCCTGAATGGATGTGTCATGCCATTTTGTAGCTGAATTGATTCATGGCATTCGTAGCTGCTGATTATGGTTTTTGCCACAAGATTAGGAAAACAAAAAAGAAGAAAGGAATGAAATTACCAAATTACTGGGTCTTTTTTTTTATCTTTTTCTCTTTAAATACTTGTTCTCTTTTTTTTTTCTTTTTTTTTATACAAGCGATAATCTATTTTAATGTAATCTAGGGGTGTATCCAATTCATACTTATAAAGACTTTTTTTAAGTGAGTGACTTTCATAGAGTTGACAAATTCTTAAATACTTTCATAGAATTGATAAAAGTCACTAGTAAAATGGCAAGACTTTTGCTCTTAACAATTAGCCTTAAAAATATGGAAAAGTCATTCATTTAATAAGCTTTTTAAAGTCATTAACTTTTTGAATACAACCAAACTTTTGAATACTTTTTAAAAGTCATAACTGGATACCACTAGACTTTTATATACTCTTTAAAAGTCTAAATTGAATATCTCTAGACTTTTAAACTCTATAAAAGTCATTAAAAGTTTGAATTAGATACACCCCCCTAAACTACAAAGAAGGGGATTCGAACTTCGGTACAGAGTGAGGAACACATCCTCTTGGCTACATCCATATTTTCTATTTATTGTCCTTTAGATAAAATAAAATATGTAATCCTACCCTCATACTAAGTTGTCACCAAGTCATTGGCTTTGGCTAGCTGTTTCCCTCTTTTCAGTCGAGGTGATCGATGAAAGAAACTATTGGTCATTCTTCTCTTGGATTGTGTACACGTGCCATCACCAAGCCACTAATTGGCTTGATTGGAAAACATTGGATTGTTGTTTTCGTGCTTCTGACTTCTAACCAGCCAATTGATCGACCAAGCAAGGAACCTCTTCTTGGCCTAAGTTCTTTCACTTCCTCAAAGTCGAGGATGGTTAGGTTTCATATGAGTATTTTTAGTATTTTTTAAAGAATTTCATGATAAAGACGCAAATTTAATTAAAAGGCGATTACACTAACGAGAACGAAGAACTGATCTAGTCTACTTGCTTGGAAAATAAAACCTAGTCTAGGGATAGAAAAGTGAAAGATAAAAAATAGTTTTTTCTATCTGAAGTCGGGTCTTCCTCCCTTCGTTTGATGAGGTTTATATAGGGGCATCCATCAACCCATAGATTAGCCATCAAATGGCTTGAAGGTCAACTTTGTTCAAAATCTTTCCTTGTGTGGCTTCCTGAATCTGTAGAATTGAATTGAATGAGATTCTTGAATTATAAATCTAATCACTTGATTCTCTCCTCCTTAGGAATGTTCCGGATTGACATCAATTTCTTTGATTGCTTTCCTTGGATGGATCTCGTGATTTGAAATGACAATGTTTACAATGTTTACAACAACATTGAAAGTGGTATTTCCCGTGGCTTCCAAGGTTGGTCCTTACCTGAATGTTGAGCATTATATTGTACAGAGGCTGGAGATCTTCTAATGTGTCAAACCCTAGTAGTTCTGCACTTTGCTTGGACTTTTCCCTTTTTGCAAAGTCTTCCCTTTGCTTTTCACAAGACTTTTCCCTTTTTACAAAGTCTTCCCCTATTCAGTCTTCTTAGTGAAGTAATTTGAAAACTGGATGGTCCAATAGGTGCTCGACAAAAGAAATTGATACCCAACATCTCCATGTAGCTAGCTTTGCTAGGGCTTCCTTCATTGGCAAAAGACTGGTTCTACTTTTTTTCCTTTTTTATTTCCAAAAGTTTGTTAGGGTAAAATTCATGCCAGCAAGATATTAAACATTTTTTACTTCCTTAATGGGATTTTGGGTTTTGAACTAGTTTAGTTGCTTTTTATTGGGTTTTGGTTTGAGTTTGGGAAGGTTTAGTTGGTTTGTAAATGGACATTAACTTTCTTTGATGCTTACTCATATGGTTGAGCTCTAGCAAATGAGCTTGAGTTTTGGTGTAGCCCAAAACCTCCATTCTCTAAGTCTACCAAGGGCCTAGTGAACCCCTATCACCATCCACATCACTGCCTACTCAGTAAACCCTAAGAGTTTATGTGACTTGAGCCTACGTGAGCTTGTTGGATGGTTTGTCACAAAACGAAGCCGCTTGGTATTGTAAGGATGTATGCAAGCGTGTGTTTACCATGCTTTGGCGGCGTATGGGAGGCTTGGAAGCTTGAAGTGCAGTGGCCACAAGTTTATATTGCAAAGGCTAAAAGCTTGTATGTGCTTATGCTTGGCAGAAGAGTGGGCTTGAAGTGCATGAACTTGATACGAATTTGATCATCACATAGCTTAGATTTTTGATAGAATCTTCCTCATGGGCTTGGTGTGCATGAAATTTGTAAATCATACAGGTTTAGTGTGATATCCCCACGTGTCGAATTAGAGTCACACTTGGCATGGCATGACTATGAAAGCTTGCATAGTCAATTCTTGAAGTTACATTACGTGCCAGTTTGGCATTACTTATTTGGGGTGATAAGTGATTTTTTTAAAATTTTGGGAAGCCCAGCCCGTTTGATAAACTATGATAAAATCACTTATTGTTAAAAATTATTGTGAGAGAAAGCTATAAGGGAAAACTGCTAATGAGGTGCTTTCATTTTCTAATTATGCAAGAACCAGTTTCGAAGAGACGCTGGGTTTAATGATTATGCGGTAATCATTTTCTGATTATGTAGGAATCAGTACCAACAACGCTTTTAACAAAAATTTTACCAAACGCCAAACTGCTTTATCTCACATCTGATTTCTCTCACAAAAAATTTGACAGCGATTATTTTCATAGTACAGCAATGCGAAACTAGCCTTACGTGTTTGAGATGCATGCGTGTGTCCAAGCTAAGGTTTTCTGGTAGCAAAGTGATACATTGGGCCTTGAATATATTTGGAGCTTTCTTAAATTGTTTCGGCCTTAATAGGATGCATCGAACGAATAGTCCTTCGAAGCCTCAACACCCTTAGTTTAGGTGCCTAGTCTTTTCACTGTGGTATTATCGATTTGCTTTTTCATTAGTGAAAATATGGATTTATATGCATGTGTTGAGGCCCAAAATATCCATCGTTCGACCCAAATACATTCTTGGCCCAATGCGATACCTTATCAAAAATAAATCCGATTTGGACACGCAAAAGTTCGTCATATACACTTTGCATACATGTCATGCCAAGCAAATAAGCAACATGTCACGCTACAAGCTTAAGTGGGTCCAAGCCACGTAAGATGTCAGGGGCTTGCTTAAGTGGGTTGTGATATGGATGGTAATAAGTTGTCATGAGGCCCATTGATGGTTCGAGAAATGGAGGTTCCGGGTTGCTTGGGAGCCTCGGAACCCAAGCCCATTTCTTAGGCCCAAATATATTGGTGATCACAAAAGGGAAAATAACCCAACCAAAATAACCCAACCAAAAATCCCAATCAAAATGGTCCACTAAAATTAACTCCTATAGCCCAATATTTGATGAAGGTGGCCCATTTGTTTGGTAGGTTGACTTCCTATCCTAGAAAGCCCATACAATTAGAAATGAGAAGCAACAAAAGCCTCAACCCCTTGCTAAAAAACAGAAGCCACGAAGGGAGCAAGATGTCCACATATGCAGAGCTACTGGGAAGTTCCAGCACATGGGAAGGGA